CAGTCTTTAAAGTCGGACCACGCAGCAATCTTCGGGAACAACCAAGCGAGACCTTTCAATTCTCTCATAGAGACCTCTGGATTCCAGGCTTGCCAATCGGAATTTGCGTCAGGTAGGTTGAGAATCGATGTCGTTGCTGACAGCGAGGTGAGAGTTATACAAGCATCATGACAGTTCTGGTTTTCAATCGAGACTTGCATTCCTTGTTGCAATGTGTGGAGGGTAATCTGCTCGGCAGGACATTGGTTCAGATGTGCCTTGGGGGCCTTGGCCCATCGACGACAGAAAGCTTTCACATCTTGCGAATCCATGGTGACATTTAATGATGTCCACTTTGAAGATAACTCGGCGATCGTCATTCTCACATCATATCCAGGAAGGCGGTCGTGTTCAAGAGCGAATACAAAGGCATCTTCGTCTGCTGGTCCAATCTTTGCTGGGTCAAGGAATAGGAAAATTCGGGGTGCATGGGCGGTAGCTTTTCTTCTGTACAATGCACCAAGGGCTGTTCCACAATCAGGGAGGAATTGGTACATTCCTCGGACGTCGAAATCCAGAGCTGCGACGTTTTGATCTGATCCTTCAACGAAAATACTGTCCCAGACTTTTCCATCAACAAATTTAGCGGCTTTAATACCACACTCCGATTGGAATGATCGAACTTGGTGTCCTCTGCCAGAAATCTGAAGTAAAATTGGGGTGCTAATGGGTGAGGAAATTTCCCATGTACCCTCGACAAGCGACCCAGAAGTTGGACTCATTCTGGCAATTGGCTTGGCTAGAACTTCCCGGATGACGCTTCTCCTACTCGCGGACTTGGGGGGCTTCGCGTACAACAGCCACTGGAAGGAGTCCGGACCGATATCAAGGTACAAGCTGGAATGCGTGCCGTCATAAACCACTCGCCATTTTCTTCCTCGCTTAATCTCAAAAAATCGAAAGACATCGTGCACAGCCGCCTTGACGCACATAATGAAGTCGGGCCAAAACCGGGGGAGGTTGGTGATGTGGTAAAGGGATCTAAACATCTCAAACCCCAAGTCGGACAGATCAGACAGCATAAGCTTCATCGGAACAAGCGCCTTCAAATTCGCTATGAATTCAGACGGCTTTTGTCGAGAAAGTGGGGAAACATGTAGATATGAATGCGTGGGGTTTCCACGACAGGATTTGCAAGCGGTATGTCCGCACAGTGTGCAACTATAAATTGAATCTTGGACCCGAGTCTGTCTCTCGCAGGAGCAGCACAGAACGCTGCTCGCTGCCTTGACTTTGAGAACAGCATGGTCGATAAGAGGTGTTTGGACGACTTGGAGGTTACTTCTCACAAGGCTATGGGCCTCGCTGGGTACGAGAAGGGACTTGGCCTCCGCCTCGCCAGAGTTTGTTGAAAATTCCTCGCCGTCGTCAAGAATCTCATGCACGGCTATCAGACCAGCCAGCATGATTGCACACACTACCGTACTCGTCATTGCATTTCCTGCCATATCCATCAAATCGGCTTGGGTTTCTCTCGTGAGTAACATTCGATCGAGGGGCAGTCCTTGCAACGAAAGAGCCTCCGTGCCAGATACGGGGCCGCCGCGGGTTGTCACAAATGGCATGCCCTTCGGTGTCAGACACCCTGCGATACCAGAACCGGCAAGGCTGTCATTCCCTCGATCGACGCCCTGAGATAAGTCAATCCAACGCCTGTGAAGTGAATTGTTAGTACAATATTCCTGAAGTGAAGATTGAGTAGACTTACTCCTTGAAGTTCATGTCATAATCTTGAAGCATCTTCTTCAGGAAATTCATATCCACGGTCTCCCACACTCTCTCCGACTGTGTCTTCCAGAAACGATGCCAATAGAAGTCCGGTGTCTTCAGTTCATTGATCCCGGGAAGGGATCGAGTGATTGGCCTCTCGCTACCTAGTTCCAGTTCGTCACGGTGCCGTTGGTGACGAATCTGGTACTGATCCCAGCTGGTTTCGCTTCGGGACTCAAGGCGGGCTCTCATCTCGATGAGCTCGAGTCGGCGATCGTCATCACTCAGCAAGAACAACCCCACCGGTGCACTCGCTGGCCGTTTGAAACGATCAGCTAGCTCACGAACGCGTTGAGTGACAATTTCAATGCCACTTTGATCCATGGTGTCTCCAAGTAGGCCCGCTGCTTCCAAGCGGTGCTTGTCAATAACCACCATGTACCCGCGCTCGCGTGTCTGCGGGATGTAGTAATGCTTCGTGTCGACATTGACACAAACGGACATGTACCTGAGCTCCTCCCACTTCCCCTTCATCTGCTCCCAGGGCGCATTCCGGACATTCTCCTGAACGATCATGCGGGGTCGATATCTCTTCGCGTACCGCAAGAGACCGTCGAACGTAGCTCCCGACTCGCCGCCTTGCTGCAGCGTCTTCTGGCGGTTGTTCAAAGGAGAGAAGTCGACACAGGCAGTTCCAGCAACTAATATGTCGAGGTTACCGGGAATTGCTTCTAATGACCCGTAGGCGGTCCGCCTTGAAAATCAAAGTCAGTATTAGAGTCATGTCAGAGGAAGATGGATGGGGTACTTACGCCTCGTCTCCTCCAAGTTCGGTGATGTCCCGAAAGAGGAGAGGGGGGCGGAAGTTTCGCTCAATGTACGACTGCTTGAATGGAACAATCTCACAGCTGAAAGCGTGCAAGATCCGAAGTTGCTGGGCCTCCGGCAAACCTATCAAGGTAAAATTAGCAATTGTTCCATGGTCATATTCCAAGAAGCACCAAGCAGAGAGTGAGAGAGGTCAGACCGAGTCACTGGAATGAGGTGGAAATCATTACCAGGCAAAAGCGATCATGCCATGGAAGTCAGGGCGAGGTTAAGGCAAAGTTAGGGCAAGGAAGGAAACATGTGACTTAGAAGTCGGGACAAGGCCTCAACCATGGAACCAGCTACAACATGAACCTCAACACGAAGACAACAAACGACCGACTGGGGGAAATGGGAAATAAAAGAAAAACGAGATGCTGCACTGCCTGCACTTACCCTTCTGTATCAATTCCAGGGCTAGAAGCGGGGCTTCGGTTCCTGAGCACATTGTCGCCACTCGAAGTGGTCGACTGCCGAGCCGAATGAGGACTTGCTCGAGTCCAATTTCCATGGCCTTTGATGCCATGTCAGCAAAAATTTCTCTCAGCGTATGCAGAGGGGGGAGGTTATTGGCTAGATACCGACCCGAAGGGATCATGCGTCCCCGCCGCAGCTCAGGAATCTCATCGGCCCCGGCACTAGACTCCTGATCATCCATTGCCAAACCATCCCCCGACTGCTGCTGAGAAATTCCCTTTGACACCATGATGTGCGTTGCAGGGGCTGAGAACTTTGAGGTGGTCGGGATATCAGATAATACTGGCAAACCAGACAAGAAGAAACACGCTGAAAAAAAGCCTGGAAACCGAGACAGTTACAGTAATGACCTTTATTACCGGTTCAGGCACGAAGCAAACTGCAAATATGCAAAATGATGGATGAAGCGATGATCGTCTGGAAAGGTGAAAGGGAAGACGACTAGAAGAAGAAGAAGAACCAAAGAGAAAACGAGATAGAAAAACACTGCGCGACGCCGAGACAACGATCGAGCTACCCCCGTTTTATGCGACGGTGGGTTCTACCCACGACCGCACCAGGAATTCCGGTAGCTCTCGCTCGACTCAGCACGACAGCATGTGCCGGCGACCTGGATCAACCTACGCTGAGAGGTACACCTGCGCTAAGATATACTACTGCAAGACGATAACCAAGCCAGGCTCGAACTAATTAGGTAACTGCATGTGACGGCGACTCATCTCCATGCGGAGTTAGAGAGACGCTGGCACTGACGAATACATCTATTCCACCTAGGCAGTACTCTCAATGGTTGTGTGAGGGTAGCCTTAGCACGCCGTTTATCATTGGCCTGTTCTGTACTATCAGAACATTAACCGCCATTAAACTAATGTTACCGCAATCCAAATGGTTCAGTAATTGATACGGAGATCAAGCCCCAATCACAGACTAAAGCTAAAAAGTGAACTATTGCTGTCTTTGCTGAGTTTATGTACTATGCTGATAACTACTTGCTTCTTGAGGATATAGTGAGAACGGTCTAGACGTTATTAACGGACATTATTTTTCAAGCAGAAGCCAATGTATCTCTTGATGGAAGCTATAATATATAGACCGACAAGCAAGAGCTTCATATAACAGTACATAGGTACCATCATTTGTCGGCCAACTTTCTGCTTTCTTCGGACGAGATATGCTAGTTTCCCATTGTGTCCCTTCTTTGATGTATCTTAAGTGGCACAGAATGAGCCTATGGTATAGGCAATGGAGATGTCATGGCAAATGGTTATAGGCACCGGAGTGTCAATGAGCTCATACACTTCTATTATACTCAAATATTGATATCAATGTCTTCTCTGCTGTAGGTATTGTTATCGAGATTACGGATTATCATGCCGGTCTCGAACGTGAGTAGTGGTTAATTGATGGGTTGGCAGTTATCCACCGAACATTGAAATCATGTGCACAGATAGAATTTGCTGAAACGTCACTATAAGACGGCTGACAGCCATTGCGAGAGAATGTCTAGATAATATTAATTCTATATTTCACCATGCAGCTTAAGCAATCCCACGAATGGTGAGGTAACCATAGAGGCTTTCTCCGTCACCGACAAACGCGCCAAACATATTAACGGGTTAAGGCATAGATAAACACTCCAAAGGGAAGGCAAGTTTAACGTTGATTGTAGAAACGAAGGACCGAAAGAATCAAGATATCATTCTGTTACTATTTTGAAGGAATACCTTGAAATTGACCGGTATGCAAATCAATGAGGAAAAATGACAACCCCTTTACGCCACCCATTCGCCTAGTACAGTGGCATAAGAAAATGAGAAAAAAAAATAATTGGCCATGTCATGCTCGCTCTCGACGAGCAAGCCACAAAATATCTGAATCGAAATGCAGTATCAAGAGAGGGTAATACCCTACCGCATGCCACCCTGCATCAATTGCTGGCGTAGCAGCATGATCTGGCTTCTTTCCATGGGAGGCAGAGCATCAATAGCAGCCTGGGGCATGCTGAGGACTTGCTGAAGGAGTTCCTCCTGGCCGTGCATCGGGGCGGCAGGTTGAATCGGGGGAGGGGCGAAAGGAGTGCCGGTGACAGGCGGTGTAGAGATCTGACCAGGAACACCATACTGTTGAAATTGTTGAGGGGTTGGCTGTTGAGCCACTTGGGGGGGCTGGGCGGCCTGTTCGACGATAGAACCAAGCAGCTGGTATTCGACCAGATTCATGAGGAGTAGAGCCTGGAAGACGGCGTAGGCGAGCTGAGGCGCTTGGCGCAGCAGCTCAGTGGCACGTGCTGGGTCGGCAACCGCAAGAGATTTCATTTGTGTCAAGACATCGAGCAATTGATTTGGTGGGAGGGATGCGAGAGTATGGGAGATGGCGTTGGGGCAGTCGATCTGAGGCGGGAGTTCCACGCCTGGGGGTAAAGGAGGCAGTGGCGCTGAGCCTGTGATTTGTTGCTGCTGCGTGGTATCTTGGTTCATCATTGGTTGCGACTGCTGCGAGTAATCTGGGGGTACGGAATCTTTCTCGTTGTTGTGAGGCCAATCAACACGGATCTTGCGGCCCATGACTTCGTGATCGTTGAGGTTGCGCACCGCCGAGGCAGCGGCGTCGGCGTCTGCAAAATCTGCGAATCCATATCCTTTGGGTTTGCCGGTCTCAGGATTCATCATCAACCGGAACTTTGTAACGGTACCGGCCGTGCTGAGGATGTCTTTGACTTGTTCCTCGGTGAGGTCTAGAGAACGATCAGTATCGCGCAGGTTAGACATGCAGCTACGGTTACATACTGTAGGGAATATTCCCCAGGAACACGCTCTTCCCAGTCCGATCGGGCGCCATGATTGCGATAGGAAATGAGATGTCAGTGAGAAAGCGAAGAAGTCGAGGCAAGCAAGAAACGCTGATTCTGCCCGACTTTCCCACACCGCCCGAAACCTCACCTCATCCGCTCAAGCATCATACCAAGTCAATCTTCATCTATCTCCAATCTTTTCCGCGCACTTACTCACATCATGTCTCAAAATCAACGGGAGGCTTGGGAGCGCCTGCAGCTTATGCTGTCGAAGCGTAAGGCTGGCTTCGGTGGCGGCATCCCATCCGGTGGTGGCCGCGGAGGCATGGGACTCGTCGGAACTCTCGTTCTGGCCGGTATTGGTACCTATGTCGCGTCAAATGCTCTGTTTAACGGTATGTTAAAGTCATCTGCTCAAGGAATCAAATTTCTAACTAGTTTTTAGTGGACGGTGGTCACCGTGCTATCAAGTACTCGCGCTTCGGTGGTGTCCAGAAGGAAATCTACAACGAAGGTATGAAAACCCACGAGCCAGACACGGAGCTCTCTCTCACATTTGGATGACCTTAGGAACGCACTTCCAAATTCCTTGGTTCGAGACCCCAATTATCTACGATGTTCGTGCGAAACCTCGCAGCATCCCTTCTCTCACCGGTACAAAGGACTTGCAGATGGTGAACATCACCTGCCGTGTCCTATCTAGACCCCGTGTCGATGCTCTGCCCCAGATATATCGAACTCTTGGACAAGACTTCGATGAGCGGGTTCTGCCTTCAATCGTCAACGAAGTGCTGAAGAGCGTTGTTGCTCAGTTCAACGCCAGCCAGTTGATCACACAGCGTGAGAACGTTGCTCGTCTGGTGCGGGACAACCTGGCTCGCCGAGCTGCCCGTTTCAACATTGCTCTAGATGATGTGTCTTTGACAGTATGTACCTTCTCCCCTACCTCTAGCCCAAACAGCTTCTAACACGCCATCTCCACACAGCACTTGACCTTCTCCCCCGAGTTCACAGCCGCGGTTGAGGCCAAGCAGGTCGCACAGCAAGACGCTCAGCGTGCTGCATTCATGGTCGACAAGGCCCGCCAAGAAAAGCAGGCCTTCATTGTCCGCGCACAGGGTGAGGCCCGCTCCGCCGAGCTTATTGGTGATGCCATCAAGAAGAGCAAGAGTTACATCGAGCTCCGACAGATCGAGAATGCTCGCCAAATTGCTCAGATCCTGCACGACAGCGGTGGCAAGAACAAGCTCTACCTGGACAGCCAAGGATTGGGCCTCAATGTCAACGCCCACAGCGAAGAGGGCAAATAATTTCATTCCGCTTGATACTTAATGGCGCTGCGTGGAGGGATGTGAATTATTGTACAAATAGCTGGATTACCAAGCATCTGAATGCGGTCTCTTCTCTATTTTCTTTTCAAGTCTCCTTGAAACATAGTAATTCTTTGCAAGTAGTGTAGACCTCTAGGTAGGATGCGGGGACAAAGGCGGCGAGACGATTTTTTAGATTCGGAGGGGCACCACTTCGGTAGTTCAACACACTTGACTAGGATTGACTAGCAAGTATCATCTTTAATTCGTGAGTATCAGTTGGAAAAACCAGCTCAACGAGTTTTCTTTTTCTTTTGGAATTACTCTTCGCAAAACCCCGCTAACAGCCCTTAGAGCATGCCCGAAGTCACCGACGATACCCCAGTGCACCTCACCGAGGTCGACATCGACCTTGACGTGCAAGAGATTCTCCTCGCCGCTTCGCAGCATGACCAGTCCAAGCTGCGCCGCCTCCTCCGCACCCAGTCTGTGCTGCCAGATGCTGCAAACGTTAAAGACATCGAGACTGGCTTCACACCTCTGCACGCCGCAATCGCCGCCTGCGAGCCCGATACAGAGGCAGTCGGCATCAATGGCTCAGACTCCAATCCGAATGATCTGGATGCCGAGACCGTGAAATCAGCAGTGGAGACTGTCAAGTTTCTCCTGCAAGAGGGCGCTATCTGGAACGATCTAGACGCGAACAACGAGACACCCGGCTGTATCGCGGGCCGCATTGGCGCTTCCGAGCTGTACGAGCTGATCGTCGACGCAGGTGTCCGCGCAGAGTTGTTGATGAACCGCCTCGACGCGTACGAGGAGCTATCCGATGATGACGAAGAGGAAGAGGAAGGCGACCCCGAGGCCGAGACAGCACCGGAACTCGTCGATGCATCCGCCGAACCCACGACAGAAACCACAACCACAACCACAACCACAACCACCCCGGCCAACCCCGAAGTATCCAACTCGCAATATCTTGAATCGCGCCTGAACATCCAAAACGACCGGATCCTGGACGCAGACCAGAACGGCGTGATGATGCGCTGGGAAAGCGACATTATGCGCAAGTCCGCGATAGCACTGCTCCCGACGCCCGGCCTGAAAGTCCTGAACATCGGTCACGGGATGGGCATTGTGGACGGATTCTTCCAGGAACGAGGGCCGGCTGTGCATCACATTGTCGAAGCGCATGAGGAGGTCGTTGCAGAGATGAAACGACGCGGGTGGGATACTAAGCCCGGTGTTGTTATCCACCAGGGTCGCTGGCAGGATATTCTTCCTGACCTTGTGGCGGCTGGGGAGACTTTCGATGCTATCTACTACGATACCTTTGCGGAGTCATATAGTGATTTCCGGGACTTCTTCTCTGAGCAGGTCATTGGATTGCTGGAGCAGGAGGGTCAGTGGGGATTCTTTAATGGTATGGGTGCTGATCGCCAAATCTCATATGATGTCTACCAGAAGGTGGCGGAGATGGATCTCTTCGAAGCTGGCTTTGATGTGCAGTGGGAGGAGATTGCCGTGCCCAAGTTAGACGGTGAATGGGAGGGTGTACGCCGGGCTTACTGGGTTGTGGATGATTATAGATTGCCCCTGTGCAAATTCATGGATTAAGGGAGATCTTGGATGATTTCATGGAAAGGATATTTAAAAAAAGGACATTGGATGTCTATGACTGAATACGACGCTTTAAAATGCTACATAATGGCTGAAAGGAACAATGTACAAATGTTATCACAGCTGAATCAAATCCACCTCCGAGAAATCTGGAGGACTGCGACTGAAGATCGTCCGACATTTGCCGTCTAGCGCCTGGTACTCATTGCTGATCCATATATGTTTGCTAAACCGTTGTGTTCGGTACACTTCGTCATCACTCACACCCAGATCATCACGCGGAATCCAGATGACAGGCCGCTTGGCGCGAAGGGCCTCGTGCTGGAAGGCACGTTGCACCAGCTGGTCACGCTCATCGGGCGTAAGATCCTCTAATTCGTCGTGAATACCGGCAAAGAGGGCTTGGCCGACTGTGCTGGGGGCTGGTGCCTGGGCCTCGGTGTCTTGGGCCATCTTTTCCCGCATATCACGTAGTGTTGGTGTGGAGGTTGCTGAGTTCTGACCGAAAAATTTAGATTTCCGGTTTGATGAGCTGGAGGCCCATGATGGACGTTTGTCTCCAAGCTTGGGTGCTGACAAGATATCCGAGTTTTGTCGCATCTGGTTTGGGAAATTGGTCTCCAGAGGTTTCAGCTCGATGTCTTCTTGCATCTCCTTTATCTCCTTTCCGTGCCGGCGCTCTTCTTGTTCACGCTTGGCGAGGGAGCCTTCGATATCACCATCCTCGTCATCGTCATCGTCAAGAGCGAGACCGAGGCGAGCGTGCTGAGCACGACGAAACTCTTCATCACGTCGAACAGCATCATCTTCCAAGGTAACGGGCAGATACCGGATCAGTGGATTGAACGCATCGTTGAGAAGAATTTGGTAACCGGCCGTCAAAACTAGAACAACAATCATGCAAATAGCCTGTCCCTTGCAGGCGACATCGTCATCCGCGTTCCGAACCAAGAAGAACAAGCCGATTAGGCAGACTTCCATAACGTAGATTCCCGTGAATAGCTGATTAATAGCTCGAGGAAAAAGAAGGCCACCGGTGTCAAATCGAAACTTAGTCACATAGAGTGTGTTGTAGCGATAGACGAACCAGAAAAGGCCGAAGGTGAGGATGTTGAAAATTAGAATCAGAGGTGCGATCACACAGTAGATCAAACCTTGGAGAATGTTAATCAACGGATTGTATCAAAAAAGACAAGACGACTTACCAATAGAGGCTAGGGTGGTATAGACAGGGAAGAATGTACCCCATTGCATCTGATTGAGGTTTGTTGTTCGTGCCCACTTCTTCCGGGCAGTAGAGTCCAAAATTGGAGCTAGAATGAACCAGCTCACCAGGCCAAAGATTTGTACAAGGGCGCCAGCGCTCACAGACATGGCTTGTAGAATCATGTAAGAGAAGAAGTAGTTACTAGACTTCGGGATGTTCACTGCTAGGAGTTGTGGCCAGCTGGTTACATCAGTGACATTCTCAATGATCGTCGAGAAACTGGAAGCGATGGTGACAACCAAGAACAATTGCACAAAGAGGAATGCAAAATAATAGTTCTGGACAGTGAGCTCGATGGACATGCCGGTGAAGAGGCCTTGCGTGCGGCTCAAAAAGCGAAGGATGAGAGGGAGCAGCGCCATCAGAATAGCTAAACACAGCGCAGGAAGAATACCCTGGATGGCAGAAATGAACCAGTCTGGAAGCTTGCCAAGCCAGGCAAGCCATGGAAATGCACCCTCCAGATATGCCAATTGTGATAGTAGTCCGGTGAAGGCGACGGGGAACGCCCATCCAACGACCATTGCGCAAACTAGTGTGATGATGCCGAAGGAACGCAGGTACCGTTCCCACCACTTGATCGACATATTATCCCAAATCACATCATCGGGAGATATTTCCACGACTCGGGGTGCCATCTGCTTGGGGAGATGGTGACTGACAGCTTGACAGGCCATGTGGGCAGCGACTTGGTGATTGAACTGGATGAAGGCCGAGTTCATTAAAGGGAACCCCTCGGGGTGCTGCTGATCGACTTCGATCTCCAGATTCAGACGAGCGAGCTCCTTTCGACAATAATCGATGGTGTCAACCTTTTCCCCTAGAAGCCAGATCGAAGGCATCCAACTCCAGCCAAATATGGGTAGACGCATGGTATCTCGGTCCTTCGGCCGGATGTATTCTTTCCACAGCGGCTCTCCGTAGTCTTCATTTTCGAAATTTTCGTTATAGGCGATAGGGTATCTTTCCCCTTCTATTTCGTCTCCCTCCTTTCGAGCATGCTCGTGTTTTTCGTTCTCGGATTTCTCGAAGTCACGATAGGTGGCATGAGTTGCAGGCGTTTCGGGTGCAGTCAGTGGATATTGGTCAGCCTCGCGTACACCCTGCGATCTTGTATTAGATGACATTCGTCTCCAGAATGGTGGCTTCGGCGGATCGCTGCACATGGTGGCATCCTGGTCTGTATTCTGTCCTGGATCCGGTCCTATGGGCTTCCCTAAGTTCAAACTCAAGTGCTGACTTCGCCGGAGCCCCACGGGTTTGGCGGGTTTTGTATCAGATTGGCTGCCAGAGGCAAGAAGACCTGGGACTGGAGGGGTGTTTGCACGAGGCGGAAGGGTGTCTGGTGTTGCAGAATGACCGGGACCTGAGGGGGTATTTGAACGAGGCGGAATGATGTTATCTGTAGTTGCAACGAAGCCCCCAGTTCGAGATAACGGTTTCTTGAAGCCTCCAAGCACTGTTTTGCCCAGTTTCCCTACCCCTTGGCCAACCGCCCCGGCGGCGGCAAGGGCAGGGTCAAACATTCGAGGTCCGTCCTCCGACCGTTTCTCTTGGGGTTTTCTGTGGAGCATTTCTTGTACTGTATGGGCCTGATGAGGATTACCAGAGCTGATACCAGGACCCATAGCCATTTGAGATGCCCGTTTTTCAGCCGTCTTTTGCTCTTTTTTCTCTGCACTTGATTGACTCTCGCCGGCCTTCTTTGCCTCCGCCTTGGCCTTTTTGAGCTGTGCCTTTTTGCATTTTGCAATCAATTCTGTCTCGGCGCTTTCAAGCTTGAGAGCAAGATGGTTTCGTGCTTTCACTTTCTCGTTCAAGTCGTCGAAGTTGCGGTTGAGCCAAATGTTTCGCACACCTCCAGGGAAAACATCGAAAAGCCTGTCAAGGGCATCCATGGTGAGCCAATCAGGTGGAATAGAAGTAACGAGCACAGTGGTAGCAGAAGCACGGAGTCGATGCTGGGGAGACGTCAAGTAGGCCTGTCGCAGGCGAATGTAATTCCGAAGTTCATCAAAAAACACAGCACAGACATAGATAATGGCAATCACGGCCATTACCAAATGAGCCCAATACCGACTCGTGTGCTCAGGGGTTACGTTACCCCATGCCAACTGGTCCAGACCAGTGACGGAATATCTAGTGCCTGAGGTACCATTTTCGTATGTCTGGCCCTTGCCACCAGCACGGTTTATTGGAAGTAGAACAGGTAATATCACGAGGCCCAGAGGAAGGAAGATCTTCAAAAGCATGCGCAGATAGCGCAGGAAGAAGTATGCATCAAGCCCACATTTCTGGATGAATTCCGAGCTGGATGTACGAAAGACTGGGACAATCCAATGGAAGAGGCCTGGCGGAGATGGGGTTGTGCGTTCTCTATCTGGTACCAGATAGGTTCGCGGTTGACTGGATATCAATTTCGGTCAGTCCAACGTCCACGTTCTCCTTTCCAGTGGGGTTTCAGGGGACTTACTATATACGGCTTAGTTTACCTTTTAGTAACAGAAAGAGGAGAAATTCAACGACGAAAACGACAATGGCCGTCGCCAGCGACGCCAGGAAGGTCGAGATTGACACACCTTCGGCGGTTCGGCCGTGGCCGCCAGTGTGTTCCAGCGCCTCCTCCAAGCCCGAAGTCATGACGATCAGCTCGGGTATTGCCGAGGGAAATGGGGACTAGGACGCTAATAGGGGTATCGAAGAAGATGTCACGGCAAGAAGCATCACGATATGTCGTTGTATGCACTGATGGATGTCGAAAGTAATCGCCTGTAGATTGAGGGGTTGAATAAGAAGGAGCTCTCTGATAAGAGAAGAAAAATCACAAAGAGAAACCCACTTGCGCAGACCTAGGGCGCCAACCTGATCAGCTGTGGGGGACGAGAGCCAATAACGTCGAATTTGGTCTTTGAGTAATATCTTGGTTTATGAGGTGAGTGGCGCGAGGACTGAGCTGGCGGTATGATATCAAGAAATTAAGACGTTGACGAACAGGGATGATTGGAGGGATCGTGGGAGCGCCGATCGAGGATACAATGACATCAGGCGCTAAGTGAAACAGCCCAAAGAAGTCACGGCAGCTTTAGATAGATTCTAGTGGAAGGAGAACAAAGATTGCTTTGTGTAACCGAGCGCCTCGGAATTTGATCTATATTTATAACAAGGAATAGCTCCTTTTTTCCCAACTATGACAACGTTGATACTGAATAACATTGCGAGACCCCTACTACGGTAGTATTGAAGCTTTTAGTGGGGAGAAAAAAAGGGAAAGAGCGGTGATTGGCCCCTGAGTCGAAGGTCCACTGATGTGGCAGTGCATTTATGTAATTCGCAAAGTCCACCAGCCACAGGGTCAGGAACTCCATGTGGCTGGCGTTCAAACACGTCGGCCGAAAGGGGAAACCACTTAACGCGTCGGTCGCGTCCACGGTGGCAGAAACCGCGTTCCGCCCACAGCTTTTTGCTCTCCCTTTCTTCACTTGTATCCCATAGACCACCAACCCACCTGATCATCGTCTGGTATCAGCACAATAATTCATATCCACCATGTCGTCACCAACACAAAGACGGAGTGGTCGCTCCTCTAAAAATTCAACTTCATCGCCTAGTTCTTCGTCCCGACAGGAGCCTCCTAGCAGTCCGACTTTTCAAGCAACCCCCCGTGCCTCGAGACGTCCATTGGCTGGGGGAGCCGCACCCTCTTCGTCCCCCATTTTTTTCCAATCATCCCCGACGAAGGGAAATAACAATGCCGAGACTCCAGATGAACGCATGGCCGATGCCAGCTCAACGGTAGACGATGGCGACAGAACCCCGCGGGGCAACCCCGGTGTGAGAGGTACGAATTTGGTTGTATCAGAGCAGCACCTTTTGTTTTCTTTTCCAATATTGATCCCTAACCGCCTATTAGATTCTTCTCCTATTCATTATATTCCAAGTTCTAGCCCAACTCGAGGCTTCGGTCGATCTGATATCCGATCCGACATCCGCTCCGATGCATTGAGCAGCGCCAGCAGCGGATTATTTGTGTCACCGGGAGGCCAGGGCCGACGGGGAGGTCCTCGTCGCAGCGATTTGCATTCTGGGGGCTTTGGGTCTACTTCCGGTCGCCGTAACCGTGTGTTCGTTGACGCCAATGGAATGCCCACAGGTGATACAATGCCTCGCTCTGATGCCACTTTCTCGAATATCAACCCTGGCACCTCTGAAGCTGAAGCCATCGCCGGAAATTCCACTCGTGTGATCTGGGGCACCAATATCTCGATCATAGATTCAATGTCGGCGTTCAAGAACTTCCTGTATAATTTCGCCACAAAATACCGCCTCTGGGCTGACGGTGCCACCGAGGACGAAACCAGACTACTGGGAGAATTAGCGGAAAGACATGAGTGCATCACCATGTGTAACAACATGCGACGACTCGGTGTGAACACATTCAATCTCGATGCTGCTAATTTGAAGTCATACCCATTAACCCGCAAGTTGTGGCACCAACTTTCCGCATATCCGCAAGAAATCATCCCTCTTATGGATCAAGCTTTGAAGGATGTCATGGTCGATCTTGCCCTCAAGGAAATGGACGTTCTTCGGTCAGAGAGCCAACGCGCTGCTCAGCCTCGTGACCGACGTGGTCAGCCCATCCTCACTTCGGACAATGCGATTCCGACTGTCGATGTGCCGGATTTAGTTGGTGAAGTGGAGGCGATGACCTTCAAGGTTCTCCCCTTCGGTTTGGATCAAACCGTGAACATGCGTGATCTCGACCCAGCCGATATGGACAAACTGATCAGCATCAAGGGCTTGGTCATTCGTGCTACTCCCATCATCCCCGATATGAGAGAAGCGTTCTTCCGGTGCAGCGCTTGCAGCTATGGTGTGCAGGTCGACATTGATCGTGGCAGAATCGCCGAGCCAACGGTCTGCCCTCGAGACGGTTGCAAAGAAAAGAACTCAATGCAGCTCCTTCACAACCGTTGCACCTTCGGTGACAAGCAAGTCATCAAGCTCCAGGAAACCCCAGACAACATTCCTGACGGTCAGACTCCTCACTCGGTGTCTTTGTGTGTCTATGATGAGCTAGTTGATGTTTGCAAGGCCGGTGACCGTGTGGAGGTGACCGGTATTTTCCGGTGCAGTCCCATGCGTGTCAGTGCTCGTCAGCGCTCGCAGAAGTCACTCTTCAAGACGTACATCGATGTTCTTCATGTGCAGAAATTTGACCGTAAGAAGATGGGCATTGACATGTCCACAGTCGGGCAAGAAATGTCTGAGCAGGCGGCAGAGGCAGATCAGGCGCGCAAAATTTCAGCCGAAGAAGAAGAGAAGATCAAGCGGACCGCCTCTCGTCCCGACATCTACGACCTATTGTCTCGTTCCCTGGCTCCCAGCATCTACGAGATGGACGATGTGAAGAAGGGCATCTTGCTACAGATGTTTGGAGGCACTAACAAGACCTTCCACAAGGGAGGTAATCCACGCTACCGTGGTGACATCAACGTTCTTCTGTGTGGTGACCCCTCGACCTCCAAGTCTCAACTACTGCGCTATGTTCACAAAATCGCTCCGCGCGGTGTCTATACCAGTGGTAAGGGTTCGTCAGCTGTTGGTTTAACTGCCTACGTGACCCGCGACCCGGACACTCGCCAGATGGTTCTTGAATCCGGTGCCTTGGTTCTGTCCGATGGTGGTGTTTGCTGTATTGATGAGTTCGACAAGATGAACGATTCTACACGATCTGTCCTTCACGAAGTCATGGAACAGCAGACCATCTCTATCGCTAAGGCGGGTATTATTACTACGCTGAACGCCCGAACATCCATCCTGGCCTCTGCCAACCCCATCGGCAGTAGGTACAATTCTAAACTGTCTGTTCCGCAGAACATTGATCTGCCACCTACTCTGCTCTCTCGTTTCGACCTGGTATACCTGGTCCTTGACCGTGTTGACGAGACGGAAGATCGTCGCCTGGCCAAGCATTTGGTCGGCATGTATCTAGAGGATAACCCCGAGAATGCCAGCTCACAGGAGATTCTGGTAAGTGCCATTTCCCCGGATGATCAATTCGCGAGATTTCTAACCGTTCTCTCTAGCCTATCGAATTCCTTACAGCCTACATTACATACGCCAAGACCAATTGCCACCCTGTGATCACCCCCGCTGCCGGTGCTGCACTCACCGAGGCCTACGTGGCTATGCGCCAGCTAGGTGATGACATCCGCGCCCAAGAGCGCCGTATCACTGCCACCACTCGACAGCTGGAGTCGATGATCCGACTTTCCGAGGCGCACGCACGCATGCGTCTGTCGCCCGAAGTCACCGTCGGCGATGTTGAAGAATCCGTGCGTCTCATCCGCTCCGCCATCAAGCAGGCCGCCACCGATTCCCGAACCGGTCTCATCGACATGGGCCTTCTGACCGAAGGCAGCAGCGCCTCTGACCGTCGTCTTCGCGACGACCTGAAGAAGGCGGTGCTGTCCCGCCTTGATGAACGTGGCGGTGTGAGTGGTGGTGCGGTCCGCTGGACCGACCTGTATCGCGATGTGAGCGAGCAGAGCGACCTCAGACTCGACCACAACCAGTTCGGTGATGCGCTGCGCTCACTGGAGGCGGAGGGCTCCGTGAATATTTTCGGTGAAGGTGCTCGTCGCAGTATCCGCCGGGCGGCCATGAGCATGTCCTAGGTGGCTGCGATGATACCATGATGTGATGATAGATTAGGCTGCATGTCGTCCTTGAGGGTGTTCTGGTGTTGGTGTTTCAATGGGTAATGATATAGGATTCGGCCCCGGAACTGTTGTATATGGTAGATTGATCAATAATAATATTTTTCCAATCTCATGAGTTCCCCAAGGTTGGCTTTGCTAGAGACCAAGACATGTGGAAAGGTGAGAAATCACATGCATCTGGCTAGACCCAACAAGCACAAAGCGGGTGTGGGGCTCGATCATCTTGCAGATGGCCCTGTCCATCTGCAACGAGCATTGAAAAAGAAATTGAAAAGCACGTTTAATATTGGACTGTGTAGGTTCTAGTTCTATAGATTGTGTGTGATATAATAACAGGGCCTTGGAATGGCCCTAGACAATAGAACAATCCTGCGCAGTGAGAGATCAAGAGAGGTCAACAGAGAGAAAGACGAGGAAGACACCACGTGCGCCCATGACTGGCCGGATTGTTCACGTCACCAAGGGGGGTCTGTATTGCGGATACAGCGTTACCATACCATAATTACCAGAAGTACATCTCGATTGCCACGATCGTGCTCTTTATAACCACCAGTATAGCAAGTTGATGCTTATTTTAAACTCACTACGGTTAAATAGGATACTCCAATGCCATTCAGCTATTCACCATGTTGAGCTCCGTTTAAACGATTGATACCATATTCTATCGCCTCGACTATTACCACACCCACTTGGCCACGATGGGGCCGTCACCCGCTAGTCATCGGACTAGCCGAGTTCGGGGGTCCATTATAACCTCTTTTGACTTTCTGTCTTCGGATAAGCTGAACTCTCCGAATTTGGCCTCTCCCTGCCTCCCTCACACCTTTTTTCTTTCTTCTTTCTCCTTCTCTTTCTTCTTCCCGTCATGAGCTTGGGATAAACCTAGACTCCCTCACATTTCTCCTTGCCCACCATGAGGTATCGAATTCCCTGTCTCGCTGTCTTCCAGCCAATTCCACTCCCCGCGCATTTATACTGACTCAATTGTCTCATAGGTTCGGCGAATACCTCCGTTCTTCCATGATAAAGGAATTCTATCCTTACTACATTGCCTATGACGATCTCAAGAAAGCTCTGAAGACCGATTTCGTCGACGAGCCAACGTCCGATAACACCAAGCCCGCCCGCAAAGAATGGACCGAGGACGATGAGACAAACTTTGTTTCCTTGCTCGAGAGTGAACTAGAGAAGGTTTTCTTGTTCCAGAAGCGCAAGAGCGAGGAGATTGTTGCCCGCATTCAAGAAAGCGAGCTCGCGGTGAACGATGTCGTCTCCCGTTTGGACAGCTCGGCCGATTCCCGTCGCCAGAGTATTCGAGCTTCTCGCCCCGCGCCCACCGATGCGGATTTCTTGATGCTTGAGCAGGTACTCAGTGATATCATTGCGGATGTTCATGACTTGGCCAAATTTACTCAATTGAACTACACGGGTTTCCAGAAGATCATCAAGAAGCATGACGTAGGTTTTCCTTCCAGGTCGCCCCTATCAATTCGCTAACAATTGCACAGAAAGAAACACAATGGTACCTCAAGCCAGTTTTTGCGACACGTCTCAAGGCCAAGCCTTTCTTCAAGGACAACTACGACGCCTTCGTGATTAAACTATCCAAGCTGTATGACCTCGTCCGGACCAAGGGTAACCCGGTCAAAGGTGATTCGTCTGCTGGTGGTACTCAACAGAACTTTGTGCGTCAGACCACCAAGTATTGGGTGCACCGGGATAATATTACGGAGTTGAAGCTGGTGATCTTGAAGCACCTGCCGGTGTTAGTCTTCAATGCCAGCAAGGAGTTCGAGGAGAAGGACACGGCCATCTCCTCTATCTACTTTGACAACACGGACACTTGGGAACTGTACCAGGGTCGTCTGAAGAAAACAGAAGGCGCTGAGGCAATTCGACTGCGTTGGTACGGTGGGATGGAAAGTGACCAGATTTTCGTGGAGCGAAAAACCCATCGCGAGGACTGGACGGGAGAAAAATCCGTCAAGGCGCGCTTCGTACTCAAGGAGAAGTACGTCAATGCCTATCTCGACGGCCGGATGACGGTTGAGCGGATCTTCGACAAGATGCGCAGGGAGGGTAAGAAGAGCGCGTCGGAGATTGATGATTTGGAGCAACTAGCTCGCGAGATTCAGTACCGCGTCATTACCCGCCGCTTGGTGCCTGTCACCCGTACATTTTATCACCGTACTGCATTCCAGCTGCCAGGTGATGCCCGTGTTCGGATCTCTCTCGACACGGAACTGACCATGATCCGAGAGGATAATATGGACGGCCGTCAACGGTCTGGGAAGAACTGGCGCCGTATGGATATCGGAGTCGACTTCCCATTCTCCCAGCTGCCTCCTGAGGATATCGACCGGTTCCCCTATGCCGTACTAGAGGTGAAACTGCAAACCCAGGCAGGCCAGGAACCTCCCCAGTGGATTCGGGATTTGACTGCTAGTCACTTGGTTGAGGCAGTCCCGAAATTCAGCAAGTTCATCCACGGAACAGCGACCATGTTCCCTACTCGTATCCACCTACTTCCATTCTGGTTCCCACAAATGGATGTAGATATCCGCAAGCCTGCGACTCGTCAATTCGGTATCCACAGACCGCTGGCGAGTACCTCAATATCTGCCAATGATGAAGATTCGGATGATGACGAAACGCCGAGTGCGCAAGAGACGCCCCCGAACGAACACGCCACCGAGCATCAAAACGGATTGTTTGAGACCAATGGCAACGAACTAGATATCGAAGAACGTATCGCCGCTCAGCCCTTGCCCGGTGACGAAGACTACCCATTGTACGACTCGGATGACGAATCTGTATACTCCGATGAACTCGAAGAAGCTCGTCGTGTAGGAGGGGCGTACTACGCGCAGAAATTGGCCAAACATTATCTCTCTCGGGCTGGTCACGCTGTCGCACAGGGTCTTATGGCGTTAATCCCCCGCCCCCGTCCAACATCCCTGCCTCCCCCCGAACAGCGTGGCATCGCTGTCTTGAGTAACCACCGACGCACCCTACAGCGATTCCAGGCTCCCCCGGGTAAACGTAAGTCGGCTCAATGCATCTTGTGCATCAATTCCCCAGACTAACACACTTCGCAAAAAATTAGGCATCTTCGTTCCCATCCGCGTGGAACCAAAGGTCTACTTCGCTGCCGAGCGAACCTTCCTCTCCTGGTTAGAATTTTCCATCATCCTCGGTGGTATCGCCGCAACCCTCCTGAACTTCGGCACCGATTTCGCGACCCTCATCTCCTCCTGGGCGTTCACCATCCTCGCTGCGGGTGCCCTCATCTACAGTCTTTTCCTGTACATCTGGCGCGTCGACAAGATCCGCAAGCGCCGTGACGTCAAACGCGTCTACTATGAGCGCTGGGGTCCGACAGTCGTCAGCATCGGACTGGTCGTAATCATTTTAGTTAACTTTGCGCTGCGCGTGCGGGAAGGCGGGTTTATGGCTGCGCCGGGATCGGAAGGCGAGCCTCAGCACGGCGGGCATGGGGAACTGTAGAACTCTTGGTTTGTTTGGAAAAGAAGAACTTAATCGTTCTCTTTGTTTTATTGGGTTGACCACCTTCTTTACTGCTCATTGGCTAGGCGCCTCTTACGTTTGTATCTACTGGTGGCTTCGGGCTGGGGCGTTGGGAGATTGTAAATCATGTACAAATCGCATACATACCATTGCAAATAGTGTGAGAATGGCACTCGATTACCGATTTCTTTGCTTTCGTTTTGTAGATGTTGTAAAGTACAAATTCCAGGGCCTGTATCTCATAAGCGAGTGACAACCCAGAACGCGTCCATGAATCAGCAATATTACTAAGGATAGGATATATCATCTTCACAATAAGCTGTAGGCTGAGAAGGTGAGTTCAGAAAGACATCTTCGAACAGGTTCCCGAATGGAAACGAGAAAGGAAACGCCATGCCCATGCCGTCTTGCGCAACTTGATCAAATAAGCCTGCAGTGGGGTTGATACTACCAGGGTTGCTTTCGTTATCAAGTTGACTCGCACCATTTCCCATCGAGGATCCTGTTGCTGAATGCTCTGCTACCCTTGCGCCATCTTGTGTCTGCCCACCTGCAGAGTGTCGCCTAAGCAGGGATTCGTAAATTGGATAGAAGGCTGCAAGTACCGGGAACCGATCTTGCAACTTGTCAAGTATCAGCATGCATAACTGGGCGCGATGGTGTGAAATCCATCGGACACCAGTATCCCCTCTGTGTATGTTGACAATATAGATTGAGAGCACAGACAGCACGGGTGCAACTCTGCAAAGGCTTTAGCAAAACCGCCCCGGATCGATTGGGGGTACTTTATTATGGAGGCGACGTACATGCTAGCTGCGGCTGCATAGAGAAGATCACTTGCCATGAGTATTTCTAGCATGTTGTAGATCTCCGCACATATCTCGAATGTCGGAGTGCCTGGTCCGGTATTGAGAGAAAACCTTGGGTTGCTCCGATGCAAAAGTAGCCGGTATTCCCTATAGATTCAGAATCAGAATGGAGATATTTTGAAGAGCCATTTGAAAGTCAACTTACTGGTATAATATATGAGTCAATATAGCCCACTTGCTGCTACTTGGCGACAACGACTTGAATTCCGGGGAAAGGGATGAAGAGCACAACGAGATTTGCTCTAAACAGATATCTTGTGAATGGCCACTATCTTCGTCAAATTTGATAGTGAAGAAGCGATCCACTGTAATATATATTAGCAAGGAAATACATTCAGGAATATGATATGATGATGGATGTTGAACCTGTCCGAGCTAGTTGCACAGCATTTATCACAAAGGTATTTGCCTCATCGGGGTATCCCACTTGAGACCCACTGGCTTGGTCAAAATCTGCTTCCGACAGAGGGGGGACATTGCAAAGTCTTCCTTGCACGTGTGGGGGACGATCGAGAAGCATAGACAGATTTATGTCCATGGCCTAGTTTAGAATGTCAGACCGTGATAGAGCTGGGGCTTTGTTGAGCAATAACCGACATATACCATCCACCATAATCTTCGCCATAATTTTCGTTCTTTCTCTTCGAGACGGTTATATGACTTTCTGGAATACTGATCAGCCGCCCTTGGCTCACATTGGAGGGGTAAGTAGACTCACATTCGATGCAGTCCTAAAGCCTGCGCCATTCCCACAGAGATACCAACCCAGTACCAAGGGTCTTTGTGTTCTAGAAGACCATTCCACCAATAGCCCATAAGAAATGTTGATTGAATCGTCGCTATCGCATCGGTTTCATATCCAGCATCGTACAGAGATTTGGCTCTCTGGTAAAAAGTTAGGCTTGCAGCGTATCGGGACACAAATCCGGCACCAGCAATGACGGAATCCGAACAATTTATAGTGGCAGCGAGGTAGATAGCATTCAAGAGCAAGTGTGAAGATTTGCCTTCCTCGAGAGTGACAAGAAATCTTGACTTATCAAGAATAGGTGCAGCAAGTGAGAAATGAAAGTAACAATCGAGAAGGGCCTGGCTCGTCTCTTGTGACGGAAGATCAAATGCCCCTTGGTTCTTGATTCGCTCAATAGTAGATATGTGAAGCTTTTCGATTTCTTGCGTCGTCGGCCTGCCCAACCGGGCCAGCATTGCCCCGTGGAGGTGGTCCTGAAGTGGGCGAGCATCCGTCGTACCTACGAAAGGATTTCCAAACTGTTGGATCAAATAATTGAGATTGGAAGAATCTCCAACATATGGAGTTTTTCCACTTGGGCCTTGGGCTGGGAAACATGGCTCTTGCCGTGGCTTATCTCCATCATCTTGAGCATGAGTGGTCAGAGGAGGGTTGGAACTTGTCAGTCCTTCATACGGCACATTGCGGGAGGCCTCTGAAAGATCACTGCCTAAGTCTGCTTGAGTGGTCAGGGGAAGAAGCTTTCGTCTCCTGAATCTGAATTAGTCCTAGTATGATGGCTTGGGTCTTGAATCCTACCGTCCACGACGAGATATAATCAACTCACATTGGCGCCGGGCATTCCGACAGTTGGAACACGCGACACCTTCACTGCGGTCACATTTGACCCGCCGGTCATGACACAGACGACAAGCGATTTTGACTGGACTGCTGCGCGGCATTTGATAATTGTCAAAGGCAATTGTCCGACTCTAAAGTTCGGCGTCTTGACTTCGGCGAAGTTGGTGAGCGCAGACCCACAAAGTCGCCGAATTTGGGCTTATCTGATTGGATGTCTATTGATATCTACCCTCTCATTGGGTGCTCAACACCAACAGTTTAGAACGAACTATAAAAGTTCTCCAAGGAGGGGTTTTTACTCAAACCAGCAAATTATTCAAGTTGCTGCTGAAGATGCTTTCGAATATATCCTCTCGAAGCATGCTCCGTCGCTCCAATCCGAAACAATGGTCACAGTGTTGCTTGCCCACCGCCGCAACGACACGATACCTACGCACATCTTCAGAACCTGGTAGCTCTACATCTGCACCCGTACCATTCAAAAGCCAGAAAGATGGAGCGTCCGGGTATCTTTTGTAAGTCCGATACTGAATTGCCAACTTGCAACCCGACTGATTTATAGTTCTAACATTTTCTACCTAGGGCAAAGGCAGACGAATTGGTTAACTGGGGAAGACAAGGTTCCCTTTGGCCTTTATCATTTGGGCTGGCCTGCTGTGGAATTGAAATGATGCATACCTCGATGCCACGTTACGATCAGGACCGGCTGGGCATTATTTTCCGTGCCTCGCCACGGCAGGCCGATGTCATGATTGTGGCCGGTACGGTGGTCAACAAGATGGCTCCGGCCGTGAGACAACTATATGATCAGATGCCCGAGCCTCGGTGGGTGATTAGCATGGGCAGTTGCGCCAACGGCGGGGGATATTACCACTATAGCTACAATGTTGTACGTGGTGTGGACCGCATCGTGCCTGTGGATATTTATGTGCCTGGATGTCCACCGACTGCTGAAGCCCTTCTGCAGGGTATTTTTCTTCTCCAGAAGAAGATGCGGAGGACGCAGGTGACGAGGATGTGGTACAGGCGCTAAGCGAGGGTTGAATGAGAGTATATATATCCTACTACTCCTGACGCCACGGAAGATATGCAACGCTTCAAATGCCAAAAACCGTGATATTCATTCTTCCACCTCGAACTGCATCTCTCGCTCTATAATATAGATCCGTCAGTATACACCTAGAACAAATTCTCTACAAATAACAACATACCCCAGATCTTGGTCGCATGTGCAATGATCGTCTCAGCCTTGACCAGCAATTTCGCAGCATACCTCTCCGTCTCTGTCGGGTAGAGTTGACTTTTCTGCGCTTTGCGAGGATTGGCCTAAACACATCAAGGACACGTCAGTAGATGATCACACATATGTATAGCCCAGCAATCCTCTTCAAGGTATCCCAAAAAAGACCAAAAACCCACCATCATAAGAACAGGAACCAAATCCTTCGGCTCAGCCTCCGCCAAAGCTCTCAAATTCTTAAATCCATTATCCCTGAGCAAACGCGCCGTCCAACTCTTCACAAAAGTAACCTGGGCCATCTCAAGCAGATCCGCGCGCGCGCCAGCCTCAAGCCTATCGCGCATATGATCCAAGACGGCTGCCATCATGCCCCAGTTCATGCGCTGACAGAATTTGACCATGCCGGCGGCGAAGCCGTGGCACTGCTGTGCCAAGGTTTGAACTGCACCGCGGGGGGTGTTGTAGCGTTGGGCTATCGTTGATATGGGGACTTCGTTGCTGAGATCGCGGAGTTGAAGGGCTGTGTAGGCGCGGCAGTAGATGCGGGCTTGTTTTATCTGGACTGCGGTGTTTTCTTTCAGGGAGGCGCCTGATTGGGCCCTGGGATAAGAATGTTAGTTTGGGGTTGGTCTGGTCTGGTTTGTTTTGAGGGTGGGTGTAGAATTGTGTGCGATATGTGTAGGAGCAATGGAGTAGCAGAGGGAAGGGGAGGCGTACATTGTGTTGACGAAACCTGGTTGGACTCCGACTAATTGTAGAGCCCGGAGACCGCTCTCATCTAGCCTGTCTAGCTGATCGCGGAAGATTTGCCAATCAATGGGGGTGTTCACGGCTGCTTGGAGCGGAGTGAACATGTAGAAGATGTGCATGTCACCGTCCATGACAAAGGCCTGTAATGCTCGTTTCAGCTCTTCGTGAACGAACAGGCCGTCTTCGGGTGAAAATGCCGAAGCCACGATTGCTTGTCCTAATGGTGTGGCTTCGTAGGATTCGTCGTTTCGCAAAATAAGAAGGTCTTCGTCGACTAGTTCCTGAAGAGCGGATTTCATGATGCTGTATGCGATCTTCTTGTCCAACGTTTGGTAGAGAAGCGTGCACCGAACATATTCCTTGATCGCCTCGCAGCCGGACACCAACCCCGTTGCCACGGCTTCGAGTAAGGCCCTTTTGGTTGTGAGCGAATGATTCAGGAGCAATAAATAGAGTAGAACAAGATACATACCGCTTGAGGCCTCTTTTCTCAGGTGCCAGGCAGCTCTCAATAGCTGGCATATCAGCGTCCAACAGATCGCAGACAGCCTGCATATCGGCTTTCACGCAGATGAGATAGGTCTCGCCAGCGTTATCCTTGCCTTTGCGGCCAGCACGACCGCACATTTGACGACTAATTTTGTCAGCTTATACTCCTTACTCCAAGAAGAAGGTACCTACAACATAGCCGGACCTACTAATTGACGCCCCATGCGCGCACCATTGATGATAACTCGTCTCGCCGGGAGGTTTACACCAGCGGCAAGACTGCACGTGGCCACGAGGACTTTGAGCACACCCTGGTCATAGGCCTGTGCAATTAGCTCCCGCTCTTCGGTGGTCATCCCAGCATCTAAGTGGTTATTAGTAAGCGTGGAAACTGGCCCCATGGATGGATATGTACTAACTGTGAAACCCTGTCCCTCTGATTATTGTTGTCTCCAAAGCCGGGTCCAGTCCACAAGCGAGGCTCCGCAATTCTGCAAGAAGGTCGAGTCGTTTATTCAGCTCTTCCGGCTCCGCCGGCGGCATCGCTTCACCGATAGTCGCAGCGTGAATTTGGCATGCGTTACGGCTGCCACAAAAGACCAATGACCCAAACCCAGCTGCTGCAGTTTCGACAGCTAGCGCTACCATGGCATTAGTGGCAGGGTTGCTGAGCTGCTTAGAGGTAGAAGGTTCAATTATTCGGTGTGGAGGAATGGTATCGTGTAGGGACGCAGCTGCAGTCAGCTTAGATGCCGTATGGAACAATTGCCGCGAGGTTGCAGCTGGGTAGATTCCATTCTCGTATACCAAGTATTCCTCAATAGGAATTGGTTTGTATGTGGAGATGTAGAACTTGGCGTTCATCCATTGTGCCAGCACTTCGGTGTTCTGTACACCTGTTAGAGCAGCCCACCGAGGGCTTGAACCATAGACTTACAGAGAGTGTAGCACTCATCCCAACAATCTGGGTGTCCTGCTGTAATAACAGCAGCTTCGTGACCATCAATTCCAAGAGATAGCCCCGGTGTTCGTCATCGAGCATGTGTAACTCGTCAAGAACCACGACTCCCAGGTCTCCAACGCTACACTCTTCGATGGTGTTGTTTATCAACGAATTGGCCTAAGGAAATAAATATCAGAGCTCTGCAAACAACACTGAATCTTAATCGTGCACACCTTCTCTATCGTACAAACGGCAATATCAGTATCCGCCCAAGAGGCTGTCGTCCGACTTCCGCCAAAGAAGCCCGTCACTCTGATATTCTTGTGCAATTTGTTCCATCGCCTGCAAGGAAATTTGGAGTCATTTTCATCATCATCCGGGATATTTCTTTCCACGTCTTGCACAATGCGACGCATCCACTTGAGCTTCTCCTGAACCAAAGCAACATAAGGCAAAACCAACAGCGCTTTGCGCCCTGGGTTTTCGATAATGCGTTTCAAAAGCAGAACATCCGCAACAAGAGACTTGCCACCGCCCGTTGGCGCCGTGTAAACCAAATGACGTTCACCGGAGAGTAAGCCCCTGGCCAGCAGACAAGATGCCTGCCATGGGTAGATATTCCTAACACCGAGAGCGGCAAAATTCGCCGTGAGAGCGGGCGGCAGACCATACTTTGGGTTAGACAGAGAGAGCAGGGGGTTCTGACTAGAAGGTGGGGCGGTCGGTGCCACAGCTTTTGGAGGATCATCCGAGGTTGGCTCCGCGCCCGCGCCCGCGCCAAGATGAATCTTGCTGGCAGTAAAGCGATGGACGGGGGCGATTAGCAGATCTCGGGCAGACTGTAGCGGAGCTGATTCCAATATGGTGTCTGTATTGCCATTTTGACGAGGGAAAGTAGCTTGTTTTACGACTGGACCGGGCGGGATGTCGAGAACCTGCTCTGTGGGCTCTGTCGGGGGTCGTTTCTGTCCTGCCACGGGCGCTACATGATACGCTTGTCGACGGGCGAGATCAATGGATGTCTGGAATCCGCGAGACTGGACTTGATGACCCGTTGTCGACATGCCTGAAACACAGATCGATCCATTCGTCTGGGGAGGGGATAAATCCAGTTGTGTTTAATCAAAATTGGCCATCTCTCTGACTTTGAAAGGTTTATGTTTTATTTGATGTTGTTTGCCATGTTTTTCACGGTTTGTTGTTTTTCCAAGGTTATCTAGTCGGCTTACTATTCGTTGTTGCTGCCTGAGGCATGGATTATATCAGCGGTTATGTCAGAGATCACGTTATGTCATCCACTCAGATCCCCCCGGGGCTGGGCCAGTCAGGTCTAGTTAACTTGATGTTCTTAGACATCGATGATCGCCGCGTTTCCAATAATGTGCGCATTACGGGATTATTACTCGTATTGCATGCTTCCATGCTCCCATGCTCCCATGCTCTGCATGATTGAACTGTAGTTCCAATATGGCCACCATGGAGTCCCTTGCTCGGGGACTACACCAACCTTGTACGAGATCGACTGTGGAGGCTTATGTGGATGCCGTCTTCCCAGCCCTGGAGCCCTTGAGCCCTGATGATTGCCCACAAGTACGTTGTAGAAACGCACAATGACCAAAAACGGATATTCGTAGCCCCATACGTGTCAATGGATGCCTGGGAACGATTGGCGCAATTAT